TTATGGATGCCGAATGGAACAATGGACAAGGTAACGAGATTGTATTGAGTTAAGCATAAGGCACATTATGGATGCCCGAATGGAACAATGTACAATGTAACGAGATTGTATTAGGTTGAGCATAAGCTATTTTATGGATGCCCGATGGAATAATTGACAATGTAACGAGATTGTATTAGTAAAACATAAGCTATATTATGGACGCCCAAATTGAATTATTGACAATGTAACGAGATTGTATAAGCTTTAGCATAAGTTATATTATGGATGTCCGAATGGAAAAATTGACAATGTAACGAGAATATTGTATTAAGTTATGCCCGAATGGAACAATGTACAATGTAACGAGATTGTATTAGGTTAAGCATGAGCTACATTATGAATGCCCGATGGAATAATTGACAATGTAACGAGATTGTATTAGGTAAAACATAAGCTATATTATGGATGCCCGATGGAATAATTGACAATGTAACGAGATTGTATTAGGTAAAACATAAACCATGGTATGTATGCCCGAATGGAATAATTGACAATGCATGAGATTGTATTAGGTTTAGCATAAGTTATATTATGGATGCCTGAATGGAATAATTGACAATGAAACGAGATCGTATTAGGTTTAGCCTTAACTATATATGGATGCCCAAATGGAATAATTGACAATGAAACGAGATTGTATTAGGTTCAGGGTAACTATTTTATGAATGGCCGAATGGAATAATTGATAATGCATGAGATTGTATTAGGTTTAGCATAAGTTATATTATGGATGTCCGAATGGAAAAATTGACAAAGTAACGAGACTGTCTAAGATTAAGCAACAGGTATATTATTAATGTCCGAATGGAATAACTGACAATGTTACGAGATTGCATTAGGTCAAACATAAACTATATTGTGAATGCCCGAATAGAATAATTTACAATGTAACTAGATTGTATTAGGTAAAACATAAGCTATATTATGGATGCCTGATGGAATAATTGACAATGTAACGAGATTGTATTAGTAAAACATAAGCTATATTATGGATGCCCGATGGAATAATTGACAATGTTACGAGATTGCATTAGGTCAAACATAAACTATATTGTGAATGCCCGAATAGAATAATTTACAATGTAACAAGATTGTATTAGGTAAAACATAAGCTATATTATGGATGCCCGATGGAATAATTGACAATGTAACGAGATTGTATTAGTAAAACATAAGCTTTATTATGGATGCCCGATGGAATAATTGACAATGTAACGAGATTGTTTTAGGTAAAACATAAGCCATGGTATGTATGCCCGAATGGAATAATTGACAATGTAACGAGATTGTATTAGGTTTAGCATAAGTTATATTATGGATGTCCCAATGGAATAATTGACAATGTAACGAGATTGTATTAGGTTTAGCCTTAACTATATTATGGATGCCCGAATGAAATAAATGACAATGTATGATATTGTGTTATGTTTAGCCTTAGCAATTTTGTGGATGCTCGAGGTAATATATATTAATGTACATAAATTATTTTTCAGAAATTCTGCTTACAGTCTGGCATCTTTGAGTGATCGTGTTGCTGAAAAACGCTGCACTCCAGGTTGGCTTACTCCATACGGATGTGTATAGATTACCCCAACACCAATAGTGAGGCCCCAGAAGGTATGTCTCGTCAATGGGTTCAAGTCAAAGCTGGAACACAAACTCAAACATCCATACAGTATATACATGCAGGGTGGTCCAAAAATGGGACACTCGTATTTCATAAATAAATTATGATTTTCTTGATGGAAACATCATAATATGTCATATTATATACCAATGGATAGGGAATTTATTCATCTTTAATTTGGTATATCATAAGTTCAAATTTATTAAAATGTCTGTCAACCAGCGTCCATTATATAAATTATAATCAATCACTCTATTGGCTGGATTCTTCCACCTCTCTGACACAGGTCCCACATATTTGCGAAGCCTCCAACTCGACTGCAACCCTTGAAACAACAATAACTTACAATTAATTTACCAAAACTTATGAAAATGAGTCAACAATTATTGCTGTTTTGATACTACTTCATGGTAGTCAAAAAACGACAACCCAAGACTCCCTCATTTCAAACTTGATAGACAGATTAATGATCAATATGTAAAAGACAAAATGAAGATTTCGGCTTCATGAAATTCAAATTATCCGAAATGTACCATCATATTTCGAAAAGTGTAATTGCAATTAATATAAAAAATGATAGGCAAACGCCTAGTACGTGATTTACCATTGCTAATGCGATAATCATTCCTATCATTATAATCAAGAATTGGAAGACGTCTGTCCAAATAACGGCTTTAATACCTCCCTGCAATCGTACATGTAAACATTCAGTTATAAAATATTACGCGAAAGAACAACAATAATCTCGAGAACTCCCTACGTGCAGAAAGTTCCTTGCATAATCATAGTAACCCGGACAGAATTGTTCAACGATCACCTTTTCTTTAATAACTTTTTTAATTTTCAGTATTATCAAAATCTGATTACATTTTTTAAACTAGAATAAAATTCTGACATACAAAGGATATTTAAGGAACATCTCTTACTGACATTATAGACGTTCATAGTATGAGAGACGCAAATACATAATTCACCATTTGTCTCATATTTGTTCAAAATGGTGGCTTGTTTTATGAATTTGAATGTTCAGTTAAATGTTAATATTTAAAAAAACGTCATGGGCCTATGGATTCGTGTAGACTGCTGCTTTGGTATGAGGTAATGAGGAATGACTGCATTTAAACCTTTTGTTTTACATTGACTTGTATGTATACCGGTACTTAAAAAAAGTATTGCACATTGTTTGTACAGTTTATTGGTAAGGTCGCAGGACATAAAGTTTTTTGGCCATTCCATTGTTACCCATATTTGATTAGCAGCCCTAGTTCGTTTAACCATTGCATCTATAGGGTCATATTTGCCACAGTTTAATGTCTTTCCCAGTCACAAGCCTTTTAACCCATCCATGGCATGCATGTGAATTGTTCTTCAGCGTTTCAATGGCCTCTGAGAAGGCTGTTTGGACCTTTTGAAAAGACTGGACCTATTCTCATCACACCCCGCACATTTATGATTGGTCAGTTGCTGTATTCTATCAGGATTGTAATGGTGGCAGCATGACCCTATAGGCTTATGCCAATCTTTAAAAATTAACGTTCAACTGAACATTCCAATTTAACGAAATATTACGCCGTTTTGAACAAATATGAAGTAAGATGATGAATTATGTATTTGCGTCAGTATTCTATTCAGTAAATCTCCCAAGCTCAGCCTCCCGGTAACTTCAGTACTTGAAGAGTACAAAGCAGCCAAAGTAAGAGCAGTAACCACTCTACGCTCTTCAAAGGACAATAAAGTTACTAGCTCGGGAGAAACAATATCGAATGGGAGGGGATGGAATCCTCAACAGGCAATCGGTATTGCTGAAAGCCAACTCCGTCATAAAGACATAGTAGGTGTCGTTTGTAAAGGTAGGATGGGCCTTGGAAACTATGGCACATCCAGGTGGAAAGATGCCAACACAGAGACAAGAAGGAAGCTTGTAGTAAAGGAGATAAGGCAATCAGAGGAAAAGGGTAGACAGGTGAAGTTAGCACAATTAGTCAAACAAGGTGCATGGACCCACTGGGAGTCTACACTCGATCGACAGCTCTCATGGAAAGACATATGGGATATGGAGCAGGGCAAGATTAGCTTCTTATTAAGAGCAATATCTGATCTTTTACCATCTCCTGCCAATCTCACTACCTGGGGTTTTAATGAAGATGCATCATGTATCCACTGTGGAGCTCTGAGCTCTGCAACCCTTAGAGAAACATTTGGTGGGTGCTAACGCAAATCCTAAAGGGAAGGTTTTGCCTAGCGGTAGCAGGCACACCTCTCGAGGAAGATATGGCATCTTACAACAAGCACAGGACTGGGAGCTCCAAAGACTCACATTTCCCAGCTGTATCACGACAACAAACCAAAGACCAGATATGCTTTTATTCTCAGAGGGTAAAAGAATTGCTGTCATGATAGAACTGACAGTACCTTGGGAAGATCGCATTGAGGTAGCACACCAACTCAAAAGCGCAAAGTACCAAGATCTGGTTGAGGAGATAGAGGCCAAAGGGTGGAAAGTTCATTACTATCCCGTTGAAGTAGGTTGTAGAGGATTTCCATCAACATCTCTCAACCGAATGTTCAAGAATGTAGGACTCCCACCCTCATGGCTCAAGAGAGCGAACAGAGCAGTTGAATCTGCAGAAAATGAAGCCTCCCGCTGGCTCTGGCTGAGGAGAAATGACAAATGGGCACAGGGGAGACAACATTAACCAATGACTTATTTGACAATGGCTAATACATTCACCGAGGGTTTGTTCACCATCCCTTTACCAACAAGGGCAGAGTAGTGCGTACAGCAGGTAGCGCTTAAAGGTCGACCGCTCTGGCTATAGTGGTGTTCAAACCATCGAAGAATGTAAAGGTTGGTACCAACATGACTAACTGACCGAGTGAGTTAAAAGGCAAGCAGGAACATCGTAGCATAGCACTCTCTTGTGTTTAATCAAAGCGTCAGTTATACTATAAACGCCTGCAATGTCAATAAATTAGAAGTTTCTCATTAAATATTTTTTTGTGTCAGAATTATACTCTAGATTTCAAATATGCAATCAGATATTGATAATACTGAAAATTAAAAAAGTTACTAAAGAAAGGTGACCCTTGAACAATTCTGTCCGGGCTACTATATAATAGAAAAAGTCAGAACTTTGCTCTTTTAGAAAATAGAGACATATCAAACATATTTGAGCAAAACAATAATTTTCTAAGAAAGATACTCTCAGCTCGTCTTTAGTAATTGCTATACCTTAAATTTTTTTATCTGGATACATGAAAAACGCATACAAGACAGGATTCCCTTAAATCACTTGCAATTCATTACTTTGTGTGCTTAAATTATTTTTATACATAGAATACAATATAGTTCAACCAGAAACGAGATTGCAAGATATAATATGTGCTTTAATAGAGCCTGACATACCAGTGTTGTATAGAATGTTGCTACTGCTGCCATAATTAAAATAGAGACCCACGTCGGAAGACCAGTTACTGAAATGTTGAGTGACATACTACAGATAAACTACTAGTACTACTACTAGTCTAGAGAGTGTGATAGACCAGTTACTGAAATGTTGAGTGACATACTGCAGATATACTACTAGTACTACTACTAGTCTAGAGAGTGTGATAGACCAGTTACTGAAATGTTGAGTGACATACTGCAGATATACTACTAGTACTACTACTAGTCTAGAGAGTGTGATAAATCAGTTACTGAAATGTTGAGTGACATACTGCAGATATACTACTAGTACTACTACTAGTCTACTAGAGTGTGATATATCGAAATGTAATAGGAAAATAGCAAAATTACAATGATAACCCTCTTACCTGCCTCTAGAGCTATTGCAGGAGCATACATGACGACGCCACCAATGGCCACCTAAATCAACAATCACAGATTTGAATTCTTATCCCAGCCCAAGTCAGTATACAGTGTGTCGCAAAATATTGTAAAATATAAAATTAGTGGTCCCAAAATCAATTTCATTTAGTTTACCATTTGAGCCAAGTGTCTCTTCTTTCCAATATGATGTGTCATTTATTCATATGAGACGACGGACCACTGAATAATCATTACTTTTCCACAATAGGCCAAAGTCCGCTCTGTACAAAGCTTTAGAGATTGCAAAAATCAGTGCATATGACCAGTAGCTATTGAAAAAGAAGTGGCACAATTAAGTGTTCAAAATCATTGTCTTCCATCTTATGAAAGTTGACTCATGAAAACTTACATGCATGCCCCTTAACATAGCCTGGATATCTTTTTCTGAATTACCCTTGAAATGTGGGTGCGAATGTACACAAAAACCCTTTGGTTTGTCGTTCACTGAACCTTCATGGATACTAATGAACACATAAAATTGTCCTTGGTAAAACTAAGTGTGAAACTTTTGTTATTCATTGCTTCAGTCACATTTAATCGACGACCGTTGCTTCCCAAAATCGAGAGAAATGTGTAGCATGAAATATGGGACAATTTACGATAATTGATATTTTAAAAATCTGTTGTTGTACTAGAGACTGCGACATATATGTTGATTTCATGGACATGCAATGTGTTATGTTTTGTTGACCAGAATTTAAGCAATCATTACCACAAGGTACCTGTTTGGAATATTGCTTTTCTTTTAAAAAAAGATCACTTTAATGATGGATTTTTTGACAATTAAGAAATATTTTATTTTTTCGGCAAATATAAACTCGAATTCCTTAACCTAAAATGTATCGATTGCGTTGATATTTTTGAGCATGCTAATAAAAGGTATGTGCTACCAGCTCTTGAAAACGGGATGTTTGATATGTCTTGGTCACAAAATTAAGTATGTTATACTATATGTATACAATTTGTCAAATATTTGTATCCTCCAACACATCGGCCATATTAATATACACTATTGATGTATTATTTTGGTGAAAGCTACGCCAGAAGGTACATTTTGATAACACATCTTCGATTGCAGACAATGGAGATATATGATTGAGTGTAGGTATTTCTGTCGTGAATTCAAGTTGACTAGATTAGGCTGTCCAATATTTTGTATCCTTCAAACATTAAAATATCATCTTTGGGAAAAAATATTTTTAGATTATTATTTTGAGAAATGAAAGTGCTTAATAAAAGTGTTAAGATCATCATTATTCAACTTTTGAATTATTTGAATTGTCATTGTAAAACTTCATTAAGTATGTGTTGGAGGATACAAAATGACTTTAAAATCATGTGCAATATAAACGTACAATCAAAACTTAGTTGTATTCGTATTTTTATGTTTGTATTAAAATTACAGCAAAGAATGAGTCATTGCCAAACCAAAAAACAATATATTTCACTCTCAGTTTCACATATGATCATGTTATAACTTTGTGGGAATAGCGATGCATGAAACCTTTACAGTTCTATTCAACATGCTATGCTTTCTTTTTATTTTCATGACCGACACATAACCATACCACTTTGAATGATGTTTCTCATTCCCCCATTGCCCACACTGCGTGTTTTTTCATGATATTATATTTTGAATGCTGTTTGTCGTTCCCTATGATGAATGTTTGGCCTTCACCAGAAATGATAATTGTTGCTTGCACATCTTAGTCATTTTAAGTGCCAGAACACTTTCATATCGATTCCAATGAAAATGATTGCATCCATTGCAATGTTTAATACTTCACATGCAATATGAGCAATATGCCCATAGCCAGCTTTTAGTAAAGGGGGGGGGGGCTCGAACCCATTCCCCTGCCCACATATAAAACATTAAACTAAACCAACACCTGGGGTGACCCTGAAAATTCAGAGGGTGGAGACGAAAACAAGGCATTAACATGACAAAATGTCACCATCTAGTAGCTCACAATGTTATGAGTTCACTCTTAAGTCAAATTTGAATTTCTGAGAACTTGTAGATGATTTTAAGAATAAAAATTGGTCAATTTGAAGCGAGTTGAAAAAACATTTTTTGACCCTGACAAGGTCATTGAAGGTGAAATATCAAATCCAAAGTCAGATTTGAACTTGTAGTTGATTTTGAAACACTGAATTGGTCAATTTGAAGCAAGTTGAAAAATGACATTTTTGACCTTGAGAAGGTCAAATATTTTATGACCTTGAGAATGTCATTGAAGGTCAAATCTATAACCGAATTTGAACTTTTGAGAACTCCTGTTGATTTTGAAAAAATAATTGGTCAATTTGAAGCAAGTTGAAAAAATACCTTTTGACCTTGAGAACGTCAATGAAGGTCGAATCTCAAATCTAAAGTCAGATTTGAACTTCTGATAACTTGTACATGATTTGAAAAAAATGGTCAATTTGAAGCAAGTTGAAAAAAAGATCTTTTTGACCTTTTTTGACCTTGAAAAAGTCACGGAAGGTCAAATCTTGAAGGTCAAATAGAAAGGATGACATTCAAGATCGCACGAGCCCCCAATTTAGTCTCCTGTTTAAAAAGCCCTATTCTTCGCTAAATTAGTTAGATTCTAGGTTTGCTCAGTAACATATTTCTCCTACTGACAAGAATGACCAGAATAGTGGAACCAATTCTAAAAAATCTTAAAAGATACTTTACTTCATCATCTAGCTTAGACACATATCATTTTGCTCGTACGAGGTTTTTATTTTATTAAGCAAAAGGTAACGGTTAAAAATAGAAAATGGAATTTCATTGCTTCACAAAAAAAACGTTGTAGAAACGAACTTTTGATAATACAAATACAATATTTCAGGATGTCAAAATCACCTCATTCTAAAAAATGTGTCTAAATTCCATGATGATCACTTACAGAATAAAAAAAGCTAGACACTTCTAAATAGCTCTCCTTATCAATCCTTCTTTTTTACATTTCTTCGTAGGAGAAGTAATATTAGGGGGTTTAAGCTTGCATGTAAAATCGAAAGGCCAACCTATGTGTTGTGCCTTACCGTAACCGAGCATTATACCATATACTACATTGATAGTTTGTGAAGTTTGAACTAAAAAAAATAGTGAGGGCATCGGAGAGGAACTGTATATATGTAAAATTGTATGAACGTATCTTGCCCATTTCTAAGTTATCGGTTTTGACATAGGGGTCTTTCAAAATAATTTGCGGCTAATAATTTCAAACGATAACGTTGACTTATTTACATTTTAATTTTTGCAATTCAATACTAATATCCAAGGAAACATGTTTATTGCTTGTTTGACACACACAAATGTGTTAAATAATATCTTATTTGAAATTAAACCAGACTTTTTGAACGATTAATGAAAATATGTTAATTTTTTATTCCTTTGACAATTGCTCAGGTAACGAAATGCCAATTTAGTTCCAATGGTGCCGCTTACGAATTTATAAAATATAATGTGTTTCCTCTACAATTAAAGAAAAAAAGATAGTCATATGAATATTTTAATTTTCGAATTTTGTATTTTTTGAAATATCAATTATCGTAAATTGACCCATATAGTGATAAGCAGTACCTTAGGTATTCTATACCGATTCTGTGAAGCTACAGCTGTCGTAGAGCAAATGTGACCGAGGCTTTATGGTGTTGTGACCAGAATTTAATCCACAACCCCAATTACACAAACCTGATTGCACAATAAGGATCAGTTGATTGAAGAAAGTTCATAACTTAGCCTTTTCTCCCATGTGCGAAAAAACAATGATAATCCTGGCAGTGATTCATGATCACATATGACCAAATGAGATATTATTGGAAAGAGTACAAATGTTGCTTTTGAGACGCACTTTAAGATAAATTGGATGGCTGTTATACTCACTTTATATCCCTATCCCTAGTAAATATTGACCCTTGCTGAGATAACGAAGTCGATTATTGACATTTATTAACCCTGGATAAATTCTAAAAATCCATTCAAAAAATATTTATTGATCCACTATATATTAAATATTTTTTTCTGGTTTAGGCATTGTATCACACTATATGTGTGTCTCGAGTACTCACTAATCCAACACTGCCGATGATCATACAAGACTGGCGGGCTACTTGGGATTTGAAGCGTCTGTACAGATACTGCAGTAGAAGTTATACAAGTTTTATGGATAGTATGCTTGAGAATTTTTATAAATAATTTTTATTTCAGGCTAACAGCATTCCAATTACAACACACAGTGCAATTTAACAAGATTGTACATAATATTCATAGGCGTAGCCAAGAGGCGTAGCGATCGCACCCTCTCCCAAAACGAATGAGAATATTAGATAGAGAAAGAAAAGAGCTTTTTAGTGCTTTTTATTTGAAGCTTCTAGCTCAATTTTGAAGGAAATTACTGACTACGCCCCTAATAATAAGTTGCAGAATATTTCTGCCAAGAGCGCCATCCGAAAAACATCAAATAAGTAAAATTATAATAAGAGTAGCGGGAAGTCTAAAACATGAGCCACGTGGATAAGTACACTCCCTTCCATAAGTTTGTCATCCAGGAGACCCCTTTGAATCAATCAAGCCTTAACAGTGGCGTAGCCAGCAATTGGTGACCAG